CTTCCGTAGTAAGTTCGTTCTAATTGGTCAATATTAACGGTCAATTGGTTGGTCCACGATTTACAATCTCACAATATCAATTGGGAAGTCCAATTTAAATATTGGCAGTGTTTGTAAGTCACTGATACTTATTTGATTTAGTTTATTTAGTTCGTGATCACATATTTGAGAAATCTGTTGTGGATTCAGCAGTTGGAATATACATTCTGTTGAGATTTTTGTTATGGCTAACCAATAAATTTTAGGACACGTTAAGATATTTGACTTCACAGTCAAATAATTTATTTGAGGTATATAATTTATTGTACAACAAAAGGACCACTCACATGGAACATAACATTACTGATTATTTCTATAGTATATATCTCTTGTATATACTGTTGTATAATTAAGTATATACCCAAGGATTTTACCATCCTGGATATCATTTTACTCACAATATTAAAAGTTCATAATTGTCAATTTAAGGTAAAACTAAACTAGACACAATATATTTTAAACTATATTATTTGCTGCTCTTAATATTGTTGCATTAAAAAAAAATGATTATTTTTTAAACAAGATAAATTAATCAATTTATTAACAATTTCAGTTTTTTATCTCTTTGATTATTATTAGATAAAAAAAAAGAAATTATATTTATCTTATTAGAAACATATTGATAATTCAAATTTATGGGTTAATCAAGTTCTAATCACAAAATATATATCCATATGAAAGATAAAGTCTTTGCAATTGTTTAACAAAAGTTTGAAATGGAAAAATAAAACATAACTTAGAGCAAATTTACTCATTAGAGTTGAGTCAATTTTAGCAGGTGGAACTTCAACAAGTCTTTGTATCAATAAGATGAATCAATCTAGGATTAAACCTATTGTTAAAATTTAATTATCATCACCTATCATTGCAAAAATTACTGGACACTTGGTTTAATGAAATTGATAAATGATTTAATATTGTGAGATTGTAAATGAGGACTGAGGAAGTCCCGAGCATGTCGATCAATCGGAACCAACTTACTGTGGTAATCACGTGATAATGATATCATTTTCTATTTTTATCTTCATATTTTGTGTAACAACCACGCCACACATTGCGCAGTGTTACACATGTAGATCATTACATCATTTCTATTTTTAACTTATTTTATGACATAATTATTCACTTCGAATTATTAATTCAATTATTTGTAATAATGACTCATAGGATTACTCATTATGAGTCATAGCATTAGTAATTAACGATTAGTAAGCTAGTATTACAGAAAATAGGATTAATAAGCATATTTTATTGGACAAAATATTGTAAAGGTCATGTTATTTGTAATACCTCAAGAGGTATAAAAGAGCTTAGTTTTAGACCAAGTGAGAATCATCATGTTCATGATATAATAATAATCATAATATAATAATAACCTTGTAATAACTATTTTATCGCTAATAAAGACACATAACACTTTTACAATAAATCAACTCTTAATAAAACCTTTAATAAACCTTTGCTGAGAAGCATACCTCACCTTAAACTAAGACCATACTAACTAAGGGACACCTTAGTTAGACAGTGGAATTTATTTATCATTGTTAGGATTTTGCCAGCAGGTACTTCTATTAGTACTGCCAAGAAAGATTGTGCAATAGAGATTTGAGTAGGCTCTGAGCTGTGTGCGGATATAGAGGCCTGGTATAGAGTATTGAGAACCCTGAGCTGTGTGCAGATACAGGGAGATTTATATATTGGACTTTTTATTTATTTTTTTCTTATATATTTATTGGAAACATCCGAGCTGTAATTGAATTAACACGCTCGCAATATGGTGGATGAAATTATGGAAGAAGATGATGAGGAAGATGATTCAGCTTTGCAATCAACTGATCCCAACTCCAATACTGTCACTACTGCTACCACTAATCCCGATACAATCGCTAATACATCATCTGCAAGCATCTTACCATCCAAGCATGTTGGTGATCCTACATCTGCTGATAAGCCCTCCAGTAAAAAACCGAAAGCAGTTAATAGAAAAGATTCATCAAATTTGAAAAAACTTATCAATGAATTATTATCCACTGAAAAACCTCTGCAAGTTACCGAAATTATAGAAGAAAGTGCTCCTGAAGAAAACACAGCCAATTTTTTATATTTATTTAGTAAGATTGACCACGCTGAATCTAGAAATGAAGTTATGAATTGAGAGGTTATTAATAGCTACTTTGATTTTGGGGGTGCTTTATATAAACGATATAAGGATCTAAAAAAGGATAATGGTAAAGAAGGATCTCATACTCTAGTTAAAGAGGAAGTTCGGAAGCAAATTCCTGATGAAGTAACAGACACTGCCTTGCAAAAAAGAATGGAAAGAGTTAGGAAAATCTATAAGCTCTTTACTGGTATTGTTAAGGGAAATGTAACAATTTACTCTGAAGTCATGTGTAACATCTGGGTGGTACATAAATATTTACATTAGAAACATGACACATTTATTATTATTATTTGTATCAATTATTTTGTGTCTTTAATTATTATTTATTATTTATTACTTATCTATGTCCACAAATCTTCCAGATAGATTGATAAGAATTATTATGATTATTTTATTTATATTTTATCAATCTTTTATTATTATTTATATTTTATTTATATCATATCAATCTATGTAATTTTATTATATAAAGGACATCATTTTTAAGATAATAAAGATAACTTGTATTTTTACAACAATTAAAGTACCTGTTCGTGTTATAATATTGATTTATTCTCGTTAAGAAAGTAATTCTTACAGGAAATGAAAAATTAGCAAAAGAAAAATAGCACAGATCAGATCTTTTTCTGCATATTCCATCTCTAACTTAAGTCAAGATGATATTGATTTTGTAATAGTCCAATTTTTGAAAGAAAATAAAAATGCGATGTAGATTGCTGCGCCACATTGCTGCGCCCTTGTGACTCATGTCACAGACATTCGTACAAAAAATAAAAGGTTTATCTACTATGATTTTTGATTTACACTTGATTAAACATAATTATCCAGATCCATACCGATATCTGATGCATCTGACTTCTATGATACCAGCATCGTCCATGTCCCCATCCTCTTTGGATATTATCGCATCCCATAAATGAAAGAAGTCCGATTTTTTTTATTGCAGAGCAATGCCACTTATGTGTCTGTTGTATGTGTGTGTTTCAGGTCTTTCATTTAACCCATGACCCTGATCTTCTGAAATCCACTTTTTCAAGTATATAAGTGTATACTTACTTCTAATAAATTCCCTGACCATACTTCATAAAAATTGGAAAGAAGTTCATATATATATATTACAGGATTTTTCTTAGATGTGGGAATGTAATAGTTGTGTGTAATTTCCATATTTTTTGAATGTAAAGAAATTCAAATTTTTGATATATACTCTATAATAATTGATCAGATAATTTAATTAATATGTCACATGACATCAATGGGGCTGTGTAATGAAAAATTATTAACACATACAACCACCTGACTATATGCATGCATATTTATTTGTGCACCAAATTCAATTAATTACCTCAAAATTTTTGGGCGTAATAGTAAATACATTCTTTACTTCTGCATTATTCATTTGATGGAAATGGTTTAAAAGGGCAGTACAACTATTTTATTGACATTAATTATTTATTATTGGCAATTTTATAGATTCTATAAATTTACGCATTAATAATTATTCTCAAACCCATTTTTTTTAAAGCATTTACAATGTCAAACTTGGTATCGAAAATTGAAAATCTTTTATTAAACGAACCTTTAGATACAGTTTGCGGTGCAAACATTGTTTATCTGGCAATGAATGGCAACCATTTGGGTAGATATGAAGACATCAGAACTTTGGCAGATCATGTGGTAAGCTCAGCATTAACGAAAATAACCAATACAGAGTGAAGAACAAAAATCATGGAGATTCTACCAGAGGTTAGTAGCAAATAAATTGGTTTTTTATATTTGCGTAAAGTGATGAAACTACAGTAGATTTTCAGTCAAGTTTTGGTATGTCATAGCTGAAGGTTGGGGAGTGCCAGCCTGGAAGAGCAATGTCGTCAGATGTTGAAGGTTCTGCTCCTCCCTAGCTGTGTATGACTATTCAACTGAAACAATGATAATTAATAATTGGATTATCCTGATTATGCACATGCAAATAATTCCCATCTTTAAAAGATTTTGTGATCACAAATCTAATATACCGGTATATCTTATATCCTCTGTAGATGATGATTGGGTACAAAAGCATTGTGGGGTTGCTTTCAATAAAGGCTTTGAATACGGTATAATATCTAATAAATACGATCCAAAATATAAACACAATAGAGGCTAACTAACATATAGGATAGGGAATTACCTGAAGACCATTCAAGAGAGCAAATAGAATGAAATCTTAACATCTTGAAATCCAAGCTCGAGGTACACTAAGTTTTTATAAGCATATCCTGATAAAATTAATTTTGTTGAAAAAAATATTATAATGTTAATGTTTTTAGAACCCTGTGTTGGAACATGATGCAGACCTTTACGGCATTCTCAGGACAAATTTGGACAATATTGACCAATTGGAGCTCTCGTGGAAGGATCCAGAAGCAAGTATGGTAATCAGTGATAAATCGGAGATACTGAAAGGATTGAAAGTGAAACAGAAGCGTCAATTTATGGTAATAATTGTTATTATTTAGGCTTAGGCAAGTCAAATTTAAATTTATATTAATTATATTTATAATTAGGAGCCTCGTGAAAATATGAGATGCGTTCTCCCTAATTCAATTATATCCAAGTGCAGTGAGTTTGTGGAAAACTTCGATAACACAAATGTTTCAAGAAATATGGGGAATATTGTCCATAATAAATCATGGAAAAAAAACGAATCAGAGTTATTGAAGATAGTAGAACACATTCTAGACGTGTTGTAAGTAATTTCATAATTCATTTGAGATGTATTTTTAAATGAAGTAGCTTATCAGTAATATAAATTTTAATCAGTGGAGAGATCTGGAGTAATCCAGCATTTGCAACTACTATGTCTCGTAACCAACAAAGTGAGGGAACATATATAACATATTATTGTTCCATTACTTCAGGCAAGTTTGGGAAACCTTCCAAATGGTTATGTCTGCTTGAGCATGTAAGAGTTAATTGATAAAATATTATTGCAAAAGTCAAATGATTATACTAAACATATTTATTTGCTAATTATAGAGCAGAACATCAGAGTCTTGCAAGCAAGGCTCGGAGAAACATAGGAGTCAATGGAGAGTGTATGGGGAAGAAACCTGATGTCATGATGTTGATAAAGAGTACAGGGAAGATTTTCGAGCTTGCATATGTTGAATCCTCCCATATCAATTGTAGTGAAACTAAAAAAAGTGACGATTATGTGAAGCTTTGGAGAGAAACGTTGGATGGGGTAAGTTTTGTCGATGGAACATGTAGACCGATGGTCAACCAATTTGGTGTTGAGGGAATACAGGTCACTGGTGACATTATACATTTGAAAGTTCTCGTTAAGGATGCAGGAGGAATACCCCGTTATTTTCATTTAGATCATGCAGAAATACCTTTGTCACCAAGTTCATTACAGTGTGTGAAATCTCTTCTATGTTTATTGTTGACTCTGAGAAATATCATAATTGTGAATAAGGGTTTGCTAGTTCAGGCATTAGAGCAGGCCAGCTCACATCCTCCATGGAACATTCATCCAAGCCCTACTGTCCCTTTTACAACAGACAACCAGAGACATCATTCTCAGAAAGCAAAATCAAAGCTTTCAAAATTAAAACTATGAATAATAATTTACCTGTACTAGAAAACTTGAAGATAAGACAACCTGATTTATATGGAAATGAATGTACATGCATTTCCTGTAAACAAGAAAATAAGACATGACAACACTTATGGTTGTGTAGCAATAGTCAAAAATAATCAAAGAAATAATAAAAAAATGTAAAAGATACATAACAGAAAAAATCAAATCATTGAAACAGTATAACAATAAAGATCATAAT